TAGCAGTCAAGTGCTTTAGCCACTATGCTACCAGAGTTCCTTCAGATGATGTATAGCACTGGGCAAATTGGCTGCAAAGGACCTCTTTCAAGTTCTGAAGAGCAAAGATGTCTCCTTGAGGACTAAGGTGCGCCTGACACAAGCTGTGATATTTTCATTTGCCTCGTATGCATGTGAGAGCTGGACAGTGAAAAAGGAAGACCGAAGAAGAATTGATGCTTTTGAGCCGTGGTGAAGAATGCTGACAGTACTGTGGACTGATAAAAGAACTAACAGGTGTGTCTGGAGGAAGTGCAGCCGGAATGCTTCTTGGAGGCGAGAATGGCCAGACTTTGTCTCACATACTTCGGTCATGTTGTCAGAAGGGACCATTCCCTGGAGAAGGATGCTTGGTAAGGTGAAGGGTCAATGAAAGAGGGCAAGGCTCTCAATGATGGATGGACACGGTAGCAGCAGCAATGGGCTCAAATATAGCAAGAATCATGAAGCTGGCTCAGGACCTGGCATGTTTCATTCTCTTGTGCATAGGGGTCGCTATGAGTTGGAGATGACTCGACGGCACCTAACAACAACAACTTGAACTCTTCTTCTTAACAGATAGCTTGTTACATGTTTCAAAATTATAAAAGTGATTATCTCTAGGTTGTAGCATAATGTGGGTTTTTTAAAATTATTATTATTGTGGTAAATGTATATATATATGGCATAGTTTGCCATTCATCTATTTTTACGTGTACAATTAATTGACATTGATTATGTTCATCATGCTGTGCCACCATTACCATCATCCTTTTCCACATTATTCCAACACCATTAACACAAACTCAGTGACCCTAAGTAATGACTCTTCCTAGGATAGTGGGTTGTTTCTTTATATTTTTTCCTAAATTTTATCTTCTCTACTAGATACTATATTTTCAATTGGAAGAAAGGGTTTGTTTTTTTTTTTAATTTTTTTATTAATATTCTCACAATCAAAGCATGAGAAATTTTTCACTCTTCCTCAGATATTTTTTCCTAAATGTGCTAAGGGACTTTTCAGCTTTAATATTTAGCAGTAGTTCTCAAACTTCAGTATGCATCACAGTCACCTGGAGGACTGATTAATCACATTGCTGGCCCTAACCCCAGAGTTTTTGATTCAGTAATTCTGGGATATGGCCCAAGATTTGCATTTCTATTAAGTTCCCAAGAGGTGCTAATAGTGTTGGTGTGAGGACCTCACTTTGAGACAAGTGACACAGAGAAAAAGATACAGGTAAATGTAACATTTCAGTTCTCAAGATCTTGGAATAAAGACTGAAATCACAAGGTCCCTCAGCAATACATTCTAAGTGGTACTTCATGATGAAGCTGGCTCAGGACCTGGCATGTTTCTAAGTGGTACTCTCCCTTTTGTCCTTCAGATAGAAGGAAACAGTAGAAGGTTGGGACCATCTGAGTCTGCCCCACACATTTGTCTAAATCAGAAATCTATCCCTTTCTCCTCCCACCCCTACACATACCCTTTGGATCTTTTCTCTTTGCAACACAATGTTGAGAGAGACTAAGATATAGATATGTGTGTACATAAGTCATCATTAAACATTGGTCAGTTAACTTTGTCTAATACTGATGTTGTCCACTTTTCATTTTTAGAAATAAATAGGTACTTAGGATTGACATTTTTACTGAAGAGTGACTGGTTTTAAATATTTGTTGTTGTTATGTGCCGTCGAGTCGGCCCCGACTGATAGCGACCCCTCCTTGGGTTTCCTAGGCAGTATCACTACGGAAGTAGACTGCCCCATCTTCCTTCCGAGGAGTGGTTAGCAGTCAAGTGCCTGAGCCACTATGCTACCAGAGCTCCTTTTAAATATTTAGTAACCTTTTAAACTTAATGATTAACAGCTTGTTTTTTTTTAGTGTTAAGGAAAAATTATTCTGGGCTCTTATGACTATGCTTACAGTAAATATGAACACCAGATTTTAGATCTCTAATTTTAAATGAAGGCATTATCCTGGCATGAATGAAGAGTTCCAGACTGAAATGAAATGAAGAGACAATAAAATTTTATTTTAATAAAATTGTTTTCATACTCTGCTAACTTAGTGTTTATGTAACAATGGGAGACAATGCAGGGATGTTTGGTTCATGTTGAGAATCAGAACAATCAAAATATAAAAAAAATGATCTACAAATTAGTATGAAGGTTTTAATATGACTTAATAGGAAAACATTCTCTTTTACATTTGTGTTTTCATTTTAATTTTTAAAATTAGATTATGGCTGTGTGCTCATGTTTGCTATTATATTATGTAGGATGCCCTTTTTTACCTCATAATTATAATCACTTAAATCTTCATTTCAGTTGATGAGTAAAGAATCCCCTGTCTCTGTTGGAAATGATGCCTATGTTGACCTTGATCGTCAGGTATCTAATTTTGCATTGTTTTTGCTCATGTGAAGATTGAATGGCTCAGTTGAAATTTCTTATGGAATATATTGGTATAATTCTCTAAAGTGGTATATTTTATGTAAAATTTAAGACCTTAAGTCTTTTTACTAATGAGTGTTACATATTTGTAATTAAATATAACCATCTATTGTATAAACCAATTTAAAATAAATTAATTTCTTTAACTTACTATAATTTGTGTTTTCTACTCATGCTTTTTCTTTTCCCACAGGTGATATTTATATTATCACACTTAACATAATAGATGCTTTCCTGGAAAAAACATATATTTAATCTTACAATTTTTTTAATGTAAAAGATATTTCGCCTTTTTTCCCTACTTTATTCTTCATTTGAAAATATATCTTCTGACCTATGTTTCATGTTTGTAAAGTAATGAATAATATGTCAGTAGATATTTAACTGCAGTAAGGGAGCTACTATCTATATATTTTTTATTGTGATAGGAGCTACTATGTTTTTAAAGAAACTTTGCAATGTATTTTTATGTATTTAATAGAAATGAGATTTTACAATTTTATGATTACTTTTTAGTAAAATACTATTAGCTATATTGCGAGTTTCTATGTTCAGGCTGCCCTGGGGCATCTGTTCCAAGCCATGAACAGAAATCTATGTATTTTTTGTCTTTTCTCATTTCTTCCCCATGGTTTCTAAATGTTTTTAAGGACTATCTTTGGACATGCTGTAATTTTAGCCCAAGTTATAATTTATCTTTCTCTTACAGTGTGGTATTTGATTGTGAAACTGTTTAGAATGAAAAATACATTTTTTTTTACATCTATATTATGTAACAATAGGAGAGAGTGCAGGGATGCTTAGTTCATGTTGAGAATCAGAATAAAAATATTTTTTAAATAGTGCTATAAATTAGTATAAGGGTTTAATATGACCTACAAACGTGTACTGAAAATATAATAGCTATATATTTTAACAGTTGAAGCCCCTATTCCTTTAGTACTTACGTATTTTACCAAAGTAAAATTTCTTAATCATTATAGAATTAACATTACCAAGAATCAAATAACCTAGATCACAAAAGATTTGTAGGTGTAAAAAGGGCATGGGGATAGCATGGTCTTCTGACCTTCTGTAACTTCACACGAAGAAGACAGAATCACTGTCAGCAGCCCAAGGCTTATTCCTCTGAGGCCAGACATGCCACCACCATCCAGCCTTTTGCCAGTTGTGAACCAACCATCCCTCCCATGGCACTCACTACTTTTTTTTTTTGCAATGGCTGCACAGAACTTACAGACAGTACTCACAATGATGAGGTTTATTAGGGAAGTAACAGTCTACAATTCAGGTTCAGGAACGTCTTTAGATACAGTTCTTTGATCAGGACAGTCTCCTCCATATTATACCCTCAGACCTGCCTCTCTGGCTCTTGGCCTCTCAGCCTGGCCTCTGCCCTGCTTTGGCAAGTGTTACAAAGCTCTTTTAGCTCTGCCAATATGTACACCTACGTGCACCCTCTCCGCCAGCAAGCCTTCTGCCCAGGGGCCCTCAGCTTTCTCACACTGTGGGCCGAGTAAGCCTGCTGCTGTCTCGTGCCTCTTGGTTCCACTGTGACCATCCATCTCTCCCAGGGTGGGTTCCTCTGCTAGGGCATGTCTCTCTTCCAGGTATCTCTCTCTGCCGCATACCTGTCTTCTGCCATGTGTCTCTCCCAAGGAGGGCTAGTGCAGGGATCTTGTGTCCAAGGATGTACTCTACTTCACCTCCAGCTCATCTCTCTTGGTGGCAGTGAGATCCCCTCTCTCCCTCTAGGAGGGTTCATTTTAAGCCTGGCAGAGTGACAAAGCTAACCAATCCCAACATCAGAGTTCTACACACCTTAATTTGCATGGTCCCACCCGGAATCTGGTGGGAGTTACAAAGACTCTGGCTAAGAATGCCATACCAACTAATTCACTGCACTGCAGTAAGTAAACTTGATTTGTGGAAAAGAACAAAATTCAAAGGGGAGAAAAGACAGACAAGACTTAATACTTAAAGAAAATCACAATTCTAAGTACCTTCTTTTGACTCTTTAACAGAAGGGTTGTACTCCCTCCCCCAACTACCACCCTCCTTAAGAAAGAAAAGAGGGAAAATGTGAGAGTTTTCTGGAAATGTGTTTTAATTCTCTGTTTTACATATGTAATTATTAATTGTTGCCGCTTCCTGCTGAAGTATTTATTGTATCTATTTGTTTTTAACCAGTTGAAGAAAACAACAGAGGAATTAAATGAAGCTTTGTCAGCAAAAGAAGAAATTGCTCAAAGATGCCATGAATTGGATATGCAGGTAAGAAGTCTGTTTTCTATACCATCCATTTGAAATGTACTCCTGTAAGTACCACCAAATGTATTGTGTATAGTACAGTTTGACTGTAATAACAGAACACTAAATAAAGAATATTTTTTAAAGGAAGAAAGAAAAACAGATTTATGTTTTTTAAAGATGTCAATTGCCATTTCTTCTTTGGCGCAATTGTAATTGTAATAAAACAATTGAAATGGTGTAAACCATTTGTTCAAGAGAAGAACAAGAGCCTTTGTTGTGTGCTAGTAAACTAGCCCTCCAGAGAACTGAGGAGTGATTTAAAAAAAAAAAAAAAGCAGCCCTGATTTATAGTGTTTTGCCAATTTCTTTAGTATAAGTACTATCACAATGGCCATTTTCAAGTTACTAAACTATTTCAAGTTAATAGTTTAACTGCCAGCTCATAAAACTCCTGAATATTTAATAGTTACCTTTGTATTAGCCAGCTCCAGCACATCTCTGAAAGCCAAAAGGCAGTTGGGAAACTGCTGAATAGCTAAAAGGAACAAAGAATGAAGAGCCCAAGAATACTTACAGAGTATGTGTAGAGGAGGGTAGGGGGTGCTACTGTAGCAGAACCCCAGAGAGGCCACAGGTAGGATGGAAGGCTGAGGTGATGCTATAGCCAGGAGTATTGTAAAGAGTATTTGAGTCCTTCAACACTATTTACCCATTACATATTGTTGTTGCTATTAGTTACCATTGAGTCATCTCCTACTCATGGCCAACCGAAGTGTGTGGGATAAAACTGCTCCATAGGGTTTTCAAGGCTCTGATGTTTGGAAGCAGATTGCCAGCACTAGCTCCCAAGGCACTTCTGGGTTGGTTCAAACAGCCAACCTTTTGGCTAGTAGTCGAGCACTTCATTGTTTGCACCACCCAGGGACTTCTGACTATAGCCAAGTTCAAAATTGGGGCATTCTTTCCCAAAGAAATTAAACAGAAGTACAAGGGAAGTTAGAATGGGTACTAGTATTTCAGGGAAGGTCATTTTCATTCTGGAATTTCTGAGTTCCTTAATTTAGATCAAGGTAAGCTCCTTTATGGATAAGCCCTAAAGTGAAGCCCATGAACACAGTACTCCTGGTTACTCTTGTCATTGTTGTTGGGTATTGTTGAGTCAGTTTTCAATTCCGAGTACTCCTATGTGACAAACTAAAATTGCCCCATAGCTTTTTGTAGGCTGTAATCTTTATGGGACGAGATTGCCAGATCTTTCTTCCACAGAGCCACTAAGTGGGTTTGAATCGCTAACTTTTTGGTTAACAGTTGAGTGTTTAAGTCTTTGTTTTGTTTTGTTTTTTGTTTTTTTATTGTGATTTGGGTGAAGATTTACAGAGCAAATTCACTTTCCATACAGCAGTTTACATATACTTTGTCTCATGACATTGACCACAGTTTACCACAATGCAACAGCTCCCCTCCCACTTCCTCCCCATAACCTCTTCCCTGTGTCCATCCCTCCATGGACTCCTGCCCCTTGAGCAGTCTCCCTGTGCATAAGCAGCCCATCTTTCTCCCATGAGTGTTCTCTCCAAGGAGTGTATCTACTTGAGGTAAATGTGCAACTCATATGGCTGTCTTTTCTTTGGCTGGAAACCACAGGTGTGGGTTCAGTTCCAGACCTGAAGGGCAGGAAGGGCCATAGTTTCAGCAGTTCCACCAGGCTCTATCGGACCAGCAAACCTGGTCCCCCCTCCCTTTTTTTTTTTCCTCCAAATGATTTTGAGTTTTGTTCCACATTGTTCTCCCTCTCCATGAAGGATCTCCTACATAGATCCCCTTTCAAGGGGATCACAGTGGTAGCTGGGCACCATCTAGTTCTGGTCTCATAGTCATATAGGCTGCAGATTTGAAGGTGTACCAGTTGCTAGGACTAATTGTTTCCATGAATTTTTATTTTCTTCATTCTTCTTTGCTCTGGACGAGGAGAGACCCATCATTGCTTCTAGATGGCAGCTTGCTAGCTTTTAAGATCCCAGTCACTACTCGCCAAAGTAGGAGGTGGAACAATGTTTTGTATAGTATGTTATGCCAGTTGA